CCCCCGCCCCACCCAGCTTCTCCATATGTGCACTCCACTGCAACTTTGACCAGGCCAGCCCCTCTCCCACATGCCAGCCCTCCCTTCCCCAACAGACCCTAACCTTTCATTCATTTTCAAAGTCCCAGCGATTAGCATTGGACCTGCCACAGTCACAGTAGCCACCATGTATTCACATCCTACTATGTGCCAAGCATCATATTACTGTATGTGAGATAGATTTTATAGGCTTATTTTACTGATCAAGGAACTGTGCTAAGCAAGTTTCCCAGGATAACATATTCAAGCTCACAGTAAGAAAAATATGTTCAAACCCAGGATTGCCTGGTTCTCTAAGTTCCCAGTCTCTCTACTGTACTAGGCTGCTTCAGTGATAAAAGAAGAAATTCATAGGGTCAATCAGTTGTGGACTTCATGAGAGAACAAAAAAGTGAGCAAGTTTACTTTAATATTTATTTTATTTTATTTTATTTTATTATTTTATTTTTACGAAACAAGATCTAGCTGTGTTGCCCAGGCAGGTCTGGAACTCCTGGCCTCATGCGATTCTCCTGCCTCACCCTCCTAAAGCACTGGGATTTGAGTGAGTTTAAAATTAAGTGAATGACTGACTGGCAGAGAGAAGAAATGAAGAAGCAGACAAAATGACTTACCCCGAGTAAATGAATGAGACCATGACTGAATCTATGACCACACTAGTCCCCCAAACCCGGCAACGGTCAGGGATGACACAGTAGCAATTGGGATGGATGCAGTGATCTGTCTAGACACACAACTCCACTGGGGGCTGTGCAGGATTTAATGAACCTCTTCCAGGTTGAAGGAAAGGAGAGAGAAGCTGCACAACAGTGATGAATTTCACCAAATCCAGCACATTTCCCACTGCCAATTAATTAAGCGAACCTCAGTGAGAAAGCCAGTCCAGTAAATCAGGAGGGGAAGGCTGCAACTTCGATGTGATCTAATTAGGCCATGAACCAGTAAGTAGGTGGCTGGCAAAAGCCCTGGGGAACCGCAATTCCCCGCTCCACCTTCACTCACCTGTTACTCTGTGGTTTCTACAATCTGGCCTGTGCCTGGTCTTCACCACCTTCCATCCTCAACACTGACAATGGCCAACCTCACTGGAGCCTGTGTGGGCAGTGCTGAGCAGCTCAGGTCACAGTGGGTGGAAAGCATGGGCAGGACCCAGGGAGGTGGGCGTGGGTGGAGGGTGGGGGACATTAAGGCCCTCATGGGTATCTCTGGAACTTCTCACAACTTTGGAAGCAATATGACATGGAGGAAAAGAGCACAGACACTGGCCTCACAATATCAGATTTTGAGTCCTGGGTCTGCACAATGGTTAACAGCCCAGGCTGGCTGTGGCCCAACAGAGCTGGAATTACATTACTGCCTGAGAGTCTCTGATTCTCCCTCTCTTCTGTAAGCAGTGGGGATACAACAGGACTGCAAGGAATAAATGACTTGATGAAAGGAAGAGCTTAGCAAAGTGCTTGGCCAAAGCAAGTATTCGATATTATGTAAGTTATTGCTCTTCTCTTTGTGGTCATGACATCCTCCTTACCTGCTAGAACTGGGCTTGGCAAGAATTTTCTATAAATGGCCGGAGAGTAAATATTTTTAGCTTTTCACACTATATGGTCTCTGTTGAAACTATTCAGTTCTGCTGTTTTGGTATGAAAGCACATAGAGAACACCCAAACAAATGGGTGTAGCTGTGTTCTCAAAACTATATGCTGAACTTTGAATTTCACATAATTTTTCATGGGACACAACATTTTATTCTTTTTCTGTTTTTTTCCAACTATTTAAATTTTTTTTTTTTTTTTTTTTTTTTTTTTTTTTTTGACGGAGTTTCACTCATGTTACCCAGGCTGGAGTGCAATGGCGCGATCTCGGCTCACCGCAACCTCCGCCTCCCGGGTTCAGGCAATTCTCCTGCCTCAGCCTCCTGAGTCGCTGGGATTACAGGCACGCGCCACCATGCCCAGCTAATTTTTTGTATTTTTAGTAGAGACGGGGTTTCACCATGTTGACCAGGATGGTCTCGATCTCTTGACCTCGTGATCCACCCGCCTCGGCCTCCCAAAGTGCTGGGATTACAGGCTTGAGCCACCACGCCCGGCCTATTTAAAATTTTTTTTAAAAAAATCATTCTTAGCTCATGCGCCATACAAGGCAGAGAGAAGGCTAAATTTAGTCCATGGACCATAATTTGCTACCTTCTAGACTAGAAGGTAAGCTCCATGAAGACAAGGGGTTTTGTCTGTTTTGTTCACTACTATACTCCCAGCATCTAAAACAGTGCCTGGCAAATAGCAGATAGTAAATATTTGCTGAATGAATTACATAATGTATGATTTTGTGTAAGAAGTCATTTCACCTCTCTGGACATCAGTTTTTTCATCCATACTGTGGGGATACTTTCAAACTTGAAGAAAGCATCAAATGAAATTAGAATCCACGTGGAATCACTTTGCAATCTCTACAACTGCTCTACAATATAATTGTTATTTCTGATCACTCAGAGGCCCTTACCAGGATAAGTCTTATCCCTCTTCAGTGCCTGGCACAGAGGAAATACTTTATGAGTGTCTGTGTATTATAAGCAATCTGGCCTGTAGGGGAGAAATGTCCAGGTAAGCTACTATCCCTATGCCAGCTGGGAACATGATAGGTTAGCACATTGACCAGGAACAGCAAGGTGGTCTGGGGTTAAGCTGCAGGGACCTTTCAGTTCTCCCAGAGGAACCATTAAACCAGCAAAGCCGAAACACATACTGGGTGTTGGACTATGGCAGATGGGGATCCAAATTTTGGCTCCAACACTTACTATGTTACTTAGGCAAGTCACTTAAACTGTCTGAGATTCCATTTAATTATCTTTAAGATGGAGATACTAATAGTGCTCACCTCACAAGGTTCTGCTGCATTCATGAAAGGACATATGTAGTGGACTAGCTCAGCACTTGGCACATAGTGAGCCCTAGACTATGACCATCTCATTCTTCTTTTGCTGAGCTGGGCAGAGTCTGAATCCCAGGCTAGGTCCTGGGCCATCAGGACTGGGAAGGACACATTAAAGCACTCTGGCATTTGAGCAGTATCAGGTAGGTAAAAGGAAAAATGCCTCCAGCTGTCCTAGCTGCACAAGTTTTCATCTCTAAACAAACAAACAAAAAGCTCTGTTGTTTTTCTTCCCTGAATTGAAAACTTCCTTCTGCACTGCAAGCTCACTCAACCCATACAATCTGCTGCTTTCGGAGGGCTGGTGATCCCAAGCTCCTCCTATTTTCTCTTCCCATACTCCCTGCCAACCACACAGGAAAGGTGAGAAACAAACCCCATTTGGTCATTTGTATACTATCAAAGGAAGAACAAGTTCTATGGGAGAAGGGAGGAAATTATTCAGCACATGAAGCTGAGGATGCTCAATGCATTTCCTTTATCAAGTCCAACTGTCTGTCTTTCTCTCTCTCACCACCCACCCCACTCCTCTATTTTGCCATATAAGAGATACATAGCATGTCTGTGCTCACACCATCAGACAGTGCACTGGAATGGAGATAAGTGTAATTGATTTCAGTCTTAGAAGACTCAGATTTTGCTTTTGATTCTCTCTGAGCAAGTCACTTCTCTCCTCAGAACCTAGCTACCCAATGAATAGCACAATGAAGAAGTAAGCATGGATTTCTCACCTCCAAATCTAGTGCTCATAGCAGCTAAATATGAAGACTTCCAACCCAGTGGGAAGGGGACACTCTGTCCAAAGAACTGGCACCAGCTCCTCTACTATCTCATTGTCACCTTAGGCAAATTGCTTCCTCATTCTGACCCATAGCCTTCTCATCTGTAAAATAAGCAGATTCCCCATCCACGCTTCATGCTTAGCTAGAAGTATCAAGAAGTTCATGATTCTATGACCCTGTCCCAATAAGCTGAGTAGATTTGGAAGGAGTCAGGGTAGAAAGTAAGATGACCATTTGTCTAATAGTCCAGACCAAAGTGAGGAAGCTGAGGGTAGGGTGGAATTATCTGGGCTGCCAGGACCAGACTATGGGACACTGATACCAAGGACAGTGAGCAGTTTGCTGGCTCCCATCCCCATTTACACCAGCTCACAGAAACAGACTCAGATCCTACACCAAATCCTGCAGGCACCACCATAGTACGAGGACATACCATGCTTTTCCACTTTTCTATAAGAATTTTCAGCATCTTTCCTGGAAACTTGGTTGGGAAACCCCAGACTTCAGCCCCCACCTCCCCAGCCCTCCTGGCTGGACTCCCTGAGAGCCTATACACAAGCTCAGACTCACTCATGTCTGGGTGGAGGAGCAGCCTCAGCCCCACAACCAGGGCAGGGGTCTGGGTGGCTGGAATTAGTTATGTCACCATAGGTTAGTCTTGAGGAGAAGCACTAGGGCCTGTCAGATCACCACATTCCTTCTCTAACCCTACCCTACTCCCACACCACCTTGGCTCAGTGAACACTTAGACTGGGGTTCCCACCTCTGTCACCCAAGCCCACTAGTCTTTAGTGAAGAGTAGCCCCACCTGCTTTTCCAAGCACCCAGTGCTGCCCTACACTTGCCCACTCTATCACCCCAGGGACCTGGATCCTCTTCTGTCTTCAAGAGGCCTGCTGTGGGTAAAGAATCAACCACCCTGAACCCCAACACCATCCCACTGACTTGCCTGCCTTCTACCATGTTCAATCCCACAGGAGTGTCCCCAGTAGTCACCCCTTTCTCCAGAAGTGCTGAGTGTCCCTTTGAGCCCTGCCTTTCCTGGTCAGGCTCCTCAGTCCTCATCTCTTTCACCCCTTCACCAACTCCCACAGTCCAGGTCCCAGCAGCCCTATCAGAATGGTGCCTGGGAAAAGGACTACCTGGGTCACTTGCTCCATGGAAAGGAACAAATGGCCACCATGAGGCCTGTCCCTCACCCCCACCCAGCTCAAGGGCCTCAGGCACCACCCAGCCAGCGGTCCTTACCTTCTCCAGCTGGTGGACACCCTCTTCCACGCAGCAGATGGAGGCCAGCGTGCGGAGCGCCTGGGGGTACAAGCACCGGAAACTGTCCTGCCGGCAAACCTTGAAGAGTGCCATGACCCCACCCTCCTGCCAAGAGAAAGAAATGTTACATCACCTTCCTTGTCTGGGGCTAACTCAAGAATAAGTGACATCCCTCATTCACCATATATGCTTTTGGGTCCTGCCTGCATCCAGCAATCCCCGCCCCGCACACACTCACACACGCTCACATGCCCCCATGTACACTACAGTGAAATGCTGGCTCCACAAATAATGTCACCCTTCATAGCTCAAGCTGGAGATGGGATACCCTAAATGCTTCTGGGGCTCAGGAGCCAGGGGCGTGAGGCAGGCATATTTGCTAGGGCTGGCGATCAGCACCCTTCAACAGGGTTGTCAAACATCTGGCAACTCCCTTGGAGCAGCCCTCCATAGAGCAGGTCTGCAGTCACAGGAAACAGGTCCTAGAAACCAATCGGGGGCAGGTGGAAGGAACTGACTAGATGCCCAGAGCTGGTTCCTCTGCCAACAATCACCATGCTATTCCTTGGGTCGTTCCGACTGCTGCGGGAGGCAGGCAAAAAAAAAAAAAGTTTTATTTATATTAGTACTACCATTTCCTCCTATTATTTTATTGAAAAAAACTGAAGTCTAGATGGGTTCACATTATCATTTTCTATCATTTACTCGTGTGTGTGTGTGTGTGTGTGTGTGTGTGTGTGTGTGTGTGTAATAACACTTTTAAAAACAATCATCCCAGCTCTTGGGTGTGATGAACATGTACTTTTCCATTTATGAGAGCTATTTATGGAAACTTCTTTCTAGTAAAGTGTTCATCATCAGGCAAGAATCTGGGAGTGTGGAGCTCATTGTCCAGGGGCCCGGCTAACTAGTCAGACTTATTCATAGTAATCACCAGAGCCCACCTTAACTCTAGAGGCAAAGTAAGCCAAGAGATCACTAGAGTGACTAATCAAGGTAGCCAGCAAACCAGTGGCAACACTACCCGGGGCATCCAGAGTGGTAGGAATTGGATACCCCACATCTAGCTTTGCCTAGATCTCTGTCTCTCTCCCACCCTGAAGGCAGGCGGGGTGCCTAGGGTTGGCAGCAGTAAATAACGCATGAGCAACTGATCTGAACTGGGTCCCTCAGGGCACTCACTTTTAACCTCATCACTCCTGGGACTAACCTCCTTGCACCGGTTCCCAAAACTGAGCAAAATGTTACAGAAGAAGGCAAGTTCAGCAAAAGACTACCCTCTATCAGATTTTTGAGAGCTCCGACAACAAAAGCACCTACTGTGTGCCAGGCTCTGTTTCATGTGTGCTGAGGATACAGCAATGAATGACTGATAAAACAATGAATGGGAAATTAAAAGAAGAAGCCCAGCACAGGTTCACCAAAATAGCTGAATCCCGGATCTTCCCTTCCCCTCCACTCCAAAACGATAGGCTCATAGGCCCTTTTCATTCTAAGAGTTTTGCTGCTGATCACTTCAGGGATCAAGATGAAGGCATCCAACTCTGGGGGAGTTCATAATTTCTGACATTTTAGAATCAGCTAAGAGTGATCACAGCTTTTATATTCCCTTTGGGGTGCTTGAATTCCCCTCATTTCTTTTGGTGTGAAAGGGCATAGCTTAGGGCTGGTACATTCATGCATGCATTCAAAAATGTTAATGGTTTATTATATGCCAGACATCATGCTGGACACTGAGCAGGACTGCTTCAGTCCCCTCCATACTGAACTCATGGTCTCATAGAGAAGGCATATGACTTTAAAAGTAGATACAAAGCTGGGTAAAGAAGCAATGGCATGTGGTTGGGGGTACAACCCATGCCATTTGGGTTAAGGGAGCACAGAGCAGGAGCCCCTAACTCAGAGGGTAGAGGGTTGTAAAAGGGTCAAGACAGAACCATTCTGATTTTAAATGCACATAATTACTCCAATAAAAATGTCTGACATGAGACAGACACTTACCCCTCTGATTTCTTGTTTCACAACATTTACTCCTGCCTTCCTACTTTCCCATGGCTCCTGGGACATCTGCATGAGGGTTCTACTTACAGATCTCACTCAGAAAAATCACTGAAGCAAAACTAGGTTACTCTTCAAAATGAGATGAAAAGAAATAGAAGTCCTAAGCTCTCCTCAGCCAGTCCTGCTGGTCATTACTAGCATTCCTCCAGATGTAAATATTTATCTATATATTTACATATTAGATATATATTTATATATGTGTGTGCTTATATTGAATCATATTGTATAAATATTATTTATATTTATACGTATTGTATAAATAATTTACATATTGCATATTATATAAGTTATAAATATACATATTATTTAAATCATATTATATTATTTCCATATATATGTAGATAGATGAGAGAGAGAGAGAGATGACTGATTGACGGACATTTACATCTGCAGCAGACAATGAAGAAACAGTGCCAAAGAACATGCATGAGGCCTGAGCCAGGATGAATGTGGCAGCCCTCCTTTGGCTCAGGAGGTACTGAGCCCAGCACAACTATATTTAAGCCTCTGCATGCATTTGCATTGGAGTCTCATTAAATCTCTCTCAAGCCTATGAAAAATGGCCTTCTTAGCATTTTTAGCTACCAGGAAAGGGAGGGGGAAATTCCTGGATTGAAAAGAAGGAGATTCTAGTCTAAATCCTGGCTTTTGATGCTGGTTGTGCTAGACTAAAAATGTGCTACAATAGCTATATGTCTGAGCTTTGAGGGGTGCAGTTGAGTTAGTGCATGTGGAAAGGCCTACTACCTGGTTCTGGACAGTGGGTAAGGGTCAGGCTATGTGAGGCTTCCTGGTTAGAAGAGTGTCTCATACTCTCATGAAAGGGGCCCCAAGGGCGAGGATATATGAGAGGAGAGAGGAAGAAGGAGGCCATAGAGGAAATAAGATGGATTGGTCTTGAGGACCACTCTGGAGCCCTCATTCAAGATCCAAGTGCAGCCCTCGTCCTGGAGTGAAGCTAGGAATGGCCTGAGCTAGCAGAATCACACTGTTGGCTGAAGCTTGTTTAATTTTATAGAAAGCTCTGGCTCAGAGCCCAGCCGCATAACAGTATGAATTATTCAGAGAGATTTGGGATGAACTGTCATAAAGTGGGAAGAAATCACTTGTAGGGAGCGTGGGCTGCTGGTGGAGGGAATAACAGAGGAGTTATTGGTGGTGGGGGGATAATTTTGATGAAGCCCAGAGGAGTTTTCTGTGCCCTGCACAGGGGAAGGGATGGGGTTTGCCACCATCATCATAGAGAGGTCTGTGCTTATTCTTTAGCCTTCAGAGGAACCCAAGAAGTTGAGAGGACAGGCCTCAGATAGGTTGCCTAAGTTTCTCTCCCAGAAGCAGCTCAGATAGATGAAGGGCCCAAACAAACACCACAGCAGGCCCCAAAGAGGTGGATAAGGAAGGCCACTAGGTCACTGCCCCACATTGTCACAACATTGGGTACAGCTACTGAGCATCCAAGGTGAGGATGCTGTCCAGTGCTTGTCGGAGACTCCCAACTCCTACTTCACTATCGGAACTGGAAACTCAAACACAGTGATTCTGTGGAGGAATTAGTCTCCCATCTTCTCCCAAAGAGAAGATTCAGGAACTCCCTTTTGCAGTCCAGAAAGATGGGATGGAAAGATGAGCTGGAAAGATGGAAGTCCTCCGAGAATCTTCTCTCTGCTTCAACACTCTGTCTACTCTATCCCTTGGACCCTAAACATCAGATCAAGAGGTTGAGATTAAGTTTCTGGAATCTACAGACCTGGGTAAAATCCCAGCTCTGCTTGAATAAATTATTTATGTCCTTTCTGAAACTCTGTTTCTTCATCTTCAAAATGGGAATTATAACTTATTGAAAGACTGTCGGAGCATCAGATGAGATGGTGAATAGAAAGCATAGCACCATGATTGAGTAAACAATGGGCACGGAAGGTGGGTAGGAGGAAGGGAAAGAATGGGGAGGAAGGTGGGAGGAAGAAGAGGAGGGGCTGCTGAGAAGCAGTTCAGAACAGTAACCAGGCGCATAACATTTACTGCCCAATAGCCAGGTACAAATTCCAGTTCAGTCACTTACTAGCTGTGGACCTCTTTGCTGTCTTAGATCCCGAATCTGGAAAATGGGGGTAGGTCCTGCTTACCACAGAGGATTGTTGGGAGGTTCAAATATGTCGTTTGTATAAAACCCTTAGAACATTATCTGGCACAAAGTGAGTGCCATAAAAATAAATTTATTATTACTACTGCTACTACAGATGTCATCACCACCCCCATCACCAGAATTGATCACTTCTGGCTTCAGAAAGCTCAGATTCTTCCATTCATACACAGCTCCTGTCAGTACCTCCCAATTTTGACCTCTACCAGCCTTATACCGAAAGCAAGCAAGCTAATGACTGTGCAGTGGACCAGGAGCAGAGAAAGAGGAAATACTGATTAAGAGGGAGACAGATTTGTTGTAGCAGAGTTTTGTCTGGAAAGGGAGAGACTCTAAGTTTTAACCAACTGAGCTGGTGAAATGGAAATAGCACTGACTCCAGAGCTGGACAAATTTGGTTTCAAGAGTCAGCTGCTCAAGGTATTCAACCACTGTGTGTCCTGGGGTTTACAGGTTAGAACCTGTAAAAGAAGGTCACTGATACACTTCTCAGAGGTGTGCATGTGGACAAGATACAGCAACTGTGTGAAAGTCCCTGCACAGGGCCTGGACACATAGGACACCACCAATAAATAGTAATTATTATCATTGTTGTTGTGAATATTCAGTGAGACTCAAGTATCTCTCTTGGCAGGCTCTGGAGGGTATGGCCCATGTAAATAACCAAAAGATCATTCTAAATCTTTAACAACTCTTGGTCATGGCACGTGAGAGCCCAGGGGAGTGTTAGGGGCATGCAAGATCTCTGAGTAGCTGAGGAGGGGACAGAACAGGTAAGAAGCCTGCGGACAGAAACAAAGGAAGTGATGACTAAATGTGGAAAATAGTTCACCTTAGCCTTGTGTTTTAAAACAGAACAGGATAAAAGTAAAATTGCATCCTTACTTTTCCCATGAAAACACTGGGAAAGCAGGTAGCATGATAGATTTGGAAGGTGTCTTAAATATACAGTCCAGCATCCTCAGGCCTCAAAGGAGGAGTCAATCCCCAGTGGTCTGGCCGACCTCCTTCGGTGAGCTAGTGGCAGAGCTGGGATGAGAGCTGCCCTCTTGTCCCAACACAGGCCTTTTCCCCTGCTTTCTACAACTGGAAATATTTGGGATTAATGTTTAACTAGAGTTAATGCCTGGTCCTGACAGGGGACTGACTCTGCAGGAGGCCAAACATCATCTTGACTTACAACCAAATGCATGTCCCCTCTCTGCTTTCCTGAACATGAAGCACAAATGCAGGCAGGTGGTAGGAGCTGTCTATATCAAGTGGCACATGGAAGCAGACCTTGAGTGCCCAGGTCCTGAAAAAGAACACCCAGAGCTTCAGAGCTCCTGCCCAGCAAAGTTTCCTTCCCAGGAAACTTCTAAGGCCCATTCTTTACAAAACATAAAACATCTTCATACCCCATGCACCATTCAGAACAAGTCCTTTTCCCATCCAGACCTCAGATCCATACAGAGAACCCAAACCCAGCATATGTTTGCAATTCATTTTGAAAGGGAAAACTGATCATTGTTCCAAAAGAAATTCATCTGCTTACTGTTTGGAGTTAATCATTAAACTAACGTTGAGTCAGTTTCAACTCAGAGGCTGGAACTGTTTGCTGTTCCCCCACAGCACCAAGACAAAAATCTACAGTCAGCATTCTTGACCAAGTTAAATATTTGAGTTACAGAAGCCTTGGAGAAAACAGATCCAATGCTACCTCTTCCATCCCCTTCGCCCCAACATGACCACAAGCTCTTCAGGTTAAATACATGTAAATGACTCCCAAAAGAGAGTAAAGGTCCTCAAACCATTTAACACAGTAGAATCACTTGGAAAGCTAAAATATTCATCCCGGGACCTACTCCAGACCAATTAAATCAGAATCCAAAAAAGCTCCCTAGTAGTTCTAATATGTATCCAGGATTGAGAACTCCTGAGTCACACTTTGGCTCAAGGACCTGAAGGGCCAAGAATTGAACCAGAAGTCACCACTGTGGGATTTAGGACCATGAATGCTGAATTAAAATTAAAGAGACTGGGGTTCAATTCTGTCTCTACTCCTTGTCAGCTGCATGATATGGAATAAGCTCCTTAAACCATTTCCTCAACTATTGATGGTAACAACATGGTACCTTCTTTATAGAAAGGTTTCATGACTTAAAAGAAATGAAGTATGTAACACCTTAAGGACAGAACACAGCGACACTCAAATGTTAGCTATTGCTATTACATACAATTCACTTCTCCACTCACAAGAGTTGACAAGCATTTACCCTGCTCTACTCCTAACATTGCTTTAAGGGCTTAGATCAGTGATACTGAGTGTCTGGCCATGCTTCAGAATTACTTGTAGAGCTTGTTAAAATGAAAACTCTCAGGTCTTACCCAAGGACCCCAGGAAATCTTGGGAAGGGTAAAAGTATCTGTGTTTTCCACAAACTCCCTGAGGGACTGTGATACAGAGTGGGCAGGGGGAACCACTGTTTCTGGGGCATCTTCCTGTGACTAGCAACTTAAGCAAACTTATTGAAGGACATAACTTTGCTATCAATTAGATCCCTGGCTCTGTCTCTGATGATGATGTCACATCTCAAGTGAAAACGGAGAATGGAAACAGGAAACAAAAGACCTTACTGAGGTGCTAGGGCTACCAGTTACCTATTTTTGCTCTAAGTGTCTTGAAGCCAAGTTCAGGGGCAAGTTAACCATGAAGCTAATGAGTTACAACCCCCATTGTAATTAATGTAAACCACCATCCTTTTTGATTTAGTCTTCTCCAAGTGTAGTATTGGAGTGGCAGCAGGCATTTTTCAGATCCAGCCATGAAGTTGAGTGTGAGAGACATGCTTGGTTTGAGTTTAGTAGGATATGTTCATGTGTTTGGCATCACTTTCTCATGTAGGTGAATTATTGCAAACCAACCTGGTATAGAATTGCCTTTTAGAAATATTCCTGAATTATTTTCTTGTTCTAAATAAATACCCACTTTAAATTCATAACTCTACAATCTTTTACTTAAGTAAAGCCCCAGTAATTCTATAAGCTTCTGTCCTCACAAATCTGAGACACACTTCAGGCATATAAGTGCAATGAATCTTTTGGAATCAAAATTCACAATGTGAATACCTTCAATTCAACTTGCTAGGTATATGGTCTTGAGCAAGTTATTTACTTTCTCTGTTCCTCAGTGTCTTCATTTGTATAAAATGTTAGTACCACCCTCTTTACAGAATCATAAGAATTACATGAGACCTCATTGATAGAGTGTCAGAAATATAATAGAATCAAATATATGTGGATTATCTTCCAATATATATTAATCTAGCCTGAGTATAAATGTTGTTAGGGAGTACCATACCAGCTTTGTAGCTCTCAAAAAGTACTCTGAGAGCTTGCCTTAGAATTGGGGACATGAGAGATAAGAGGGTCTAGTTAAAAACTTCATACCCGGTAAATCTCTTTCTGGATACAGGATGACCCACTGGATTCTCAACAGCCCCTCAGAACCCCCTACCGAAGTTGAAGGTCAAATGAACTTCAGTTCCCTCTCAACTCTCAGAGATTTTAGATCTATGAATTTGTAACTTTCTCATTCAACAAACTCTTTGAGTACCCACTTTGTGCAGACATTGCACTAGGCACTAAGGACACAGAGATGATTCAGATGTTTCTGTCCTTAAAAAGCACACAGCTTAAAACACATAACAAAATGAATATGGTAAGTGCTGAGACAGTGCCTGCTACTCTTTTTAGATATCACAGGAGGGTGTCTGGAAAGCAATACAGAAGAATACAGTGTTGAGTGTGGAATGCTGAATAAGAGTTTTCCAAGTGGCAAGAGAGAAAGATGTTCAAATCACAAAGACAAAAGGTGTGAAGGCAATAACTTATGTCCTTGTCCTTCCTCTGATTTCTCCTCAGACAGGCAGCTGGGACAGCCACAGCCACCCCAGCCTATGGTCAGAATGTAGGACCCAACCAACAGAGAGAGCCAGAGGAGAGAGGGAGGCTGTTTCTGGGCTCCTCTTCAGCCTGGGAGAGGGAGAAACTAATAGGAAGGCCTAAAAGGATGCCAACAGAATTGAGATGCATTACTTGAATCAAGCCTGCTTTGAAGTTTAGCCTGCATTCTTCTCTCTTCTTGTATTCCTTGAGCAAATCCTTACATTTTATTGTGTTCAGAGAGCTGTATGGCCTCCTTTTGGGGAAGAAGTAGGAAAGCTTAGGACAGGCAGAGACAGTGTATGTCAGAGCCCATCTTGTCTTTATGCCTGCTGAACAGGGGCCAGTATCTTTGGTGACAAAACAATAGAGGACCCAGATTCTCCTCCTGCTTTTCCAGGGATCATAGGCAGATGCTGAGGTTCACAAGATTCTAAGGGGACATAAAAAGGTACTGAGAGCACTGGATGAGAACCCAGAAAACAAATGCCTCTGAGTTTGTGGCAAAGGTCATGTTTGTAGACCTGTTCCTCCTCTTTCTCCTGCTAATGCTACTGCTAATTATCATGGGGTGTATGTTGTTATGGCAGCAGCATTAAGAGATGTGGATAGAGTTTAAGGTATACATACGTCTATATGAAAGAAACCTTTTCTTTGAACTGTGTTTAAGACAGCCCATGTCTTACAACCATGATGTCAGGGAGCCATATAAGGTCAATAGATTACCCAAAATGCCACATGCCAGATGGTCTCTTTATTCACTAAATCACCACATCCCATGGACCTCAGGACGCCACAGCTACCAGGAAGGGAAGGATGTGTGGAGATGGAGAAGGAGGGTTGGTATTTATAACATAAACTACGTAAAGAAAGATGATAGAGGCTCTGAGGGCACCAGATTTCTGTCTCAGGTGGGAAATGAAATCAGAGGGGCTAGCTAGCCACCTATTAAAAATGGAGACACCAAGGCCCAGATAGGATAGGTGACTCTCCCAAGGTCACACAGCAAGCTAATGCAGGGGCCAAGATAGGCCTCCTTAGCCAGCCATTCCCATTGAACAAGTGAGCTTCCCGAGGCCTGCCATTCTGGCCCCTAAGCATGAAGCTCACCTTGGCTATGATGCGGCACAAAGGAGCCCCCTCCTGGGTCAGGCTGAACAGGTTCCCTGTAGTGGACTCTGTGGTGTAGATATTGTCCGAGGCATCAATTTTTCTCACCAGTGCCTAAGGAGAGAGAGAAAAGTTAGCTAGTTACTCACCACCTCTACCCTCTGCTCATTTTAGTGGAACACCAGTGGGCCCATGCTCCTAATGGTAACCATGGAATGCTCCTGCCCCTATCCACTGCCCCGCTGTGAGGGCAATGAGTTTCTAGTTTTGGGAAAGGTATCAGTCAAGGTAAAGTCTAAGCTACCTTTTAGAGATATGGGATCATTTGAAACCCCTGGGACATGGGCAATAATTAGCCTTGCCCTAATCCCTCAGAAAATCAGTCCCCGACATTGATGGGCTCAACAAATACTATTGGCTTCTAAAGAGAACATAAATCATCAGTTAAATTAAGAAACCATCAAGTTAAAAGCCAATAAGTGGCTACAGCTATGACCAAAGAATTTGCTCATTTTGAATGCCTATTAGCCAACGGTGAACTCCAGCTGAGTGATGGGTTCAAGGGTTGTCAAGAAAAGTATTCCGCGGGAGTTTATTGCTTGAGGGATATTTTTTCTTGGATATTTGCCCTCTCCAGTAGCTTATTGTTTGGGGGGTATGGCCAAAACGAAATAGCAACACTGGGAATCCTGTTGAAGGGTGTGTAATTAGGTGAGGAATGTCACACTGATCAAGGCTGAAGAACCTGAGGGTAGTGGTGAGGGGTGCTGGAAATGACTGAACATAAGACCAAGGGAGATTCAGGAAGGAAAGCAAATGAAAGATTCATTAACAAATACAATACAAAGATTATTTCTAGAAAAGTTTAGCTAATTTCTGGCGGAACGTTTTTTATGTAACTTGAAGCCACTTCATTATTCGCCATTTGCTTTGGAGCATGTGATTCATTGATTATAAAGGATTCCTTCCTGCTAATTAAGGCCAGTAGCTCAAGTTTCTCCTAGAAAGAATGAAGGCAGAGACTGGGAAGAGCAACTTTTGAGGGCCTCATGCAAGAAAGTAAGATCTCCAGACCTGGGTGCTCTGAGAAGCCACTCATGCGGTTTCAGCTGCCAGGTTTATTTTAAAACATTAAAGTGAAAATTTTTTTTTTTTTTTGAGACGGAGTTTCGCTCTTGTTACCCAGGCTGGAGTGCAATGGCGCGATCTCTGCTCACCGCAACTTCCGCCTCCTGGGTTCAGGCAATTCTCCTGCCTCAGCCTCCTGAGCAGCTGGGATTACAGGCCCTCGCCACCATGCCCAGCTAATTTTTTGTAGCTTTAGCAGAGACGGGGTTTCACCGTGTTGACCAGGATGGTCTCGATCTCTTGACCTCGTGATCCACCCGCCTCGGCCTCCCAAAGTGCTGGGATTACAGGCTTGAGCCACGTGAAATTTATTTTTAATTAAACACTGGCGTTATGGAAAAGACAGTTAAGAGCAACACTTGGAGCAGCTTAGCCTTTCTTTGCCTCAGTTTCCTCATCTATAAAGTGGTGTAAAAATAAGCTGGCTGCAGTGGTACATGCCTATAAGTCTCAGCTACCTGGAAGACTGAGGCAGGGGGTAGGGCCAAGTCCAGGAGTTCAAGAATAGCCTGGGCAATATAGCAAGACCCCCATCTCAAATAAATAAATAATTAAAATGGTGTAAATAACAATTTCTATATTTTAAGGGAGTTGTGTCCATTTTTAAGGTTGTCAATATATATAAAGGACTTCTAATGGTACCTTCCAGGTGAAAGCAAAATAAAATTGTAAGCAGTTATAATTTTGTGATCTTGTGCAGTTAAGATAAGCTCCTTATACTTTGGTTGCCCTGTTTGTAAAATGATTAAAATTAAGAGGTTTGAGGCTCAAGGTAAATTGCTCTCCCTTTTGTCTTCTTTATTCAAATTTATGAAATTCTTCACACACACACATTATGCTAATCTAGATACAGCAGTCTAAGATTAAGTGTGTATTTAATCAAACTACATTAAATATAAAAATTATGCTCTAAGTTTTGATAGATGTCTCTTGTTAGAGATTCAACAAAAGGTAAAATTAATAAGCAAGATTTGTCACTACAGATCTCTGTAATAATCACACTTCTTAGAATTCTTCCCCACCGTTACCGTAAGCAGCTACACGTGTGATACTAATGCTCACATGAAAATGCAGATTTCATATATTGGGGTCCTGTTCCTAAATGATAATTACCTAATGTTCCTGATTAGTGTTTGCACTTGAAGCAAATTAGCATTACATTAAACAATTCAAACCCAATGTCTTTTGCAATCAGCTGCTAATATTAGACAATTTAAATCTGAGAATAATTTCATGTTAATGTCTATACACATATATACAGTAATTATACCTCAGATATGTCTCAGTGAATCAGATCTCTGACAAAGAAAAGTTGTAAGCATCCTTTCCACAGTGTAAATCTGGAAAGATGAAATCAAAGATGCCACTGAAATCTTCAAGGCCCTAAATATCCATATGTCAGAGCTGGAAAGGACCACAGAAATAATATGTCCAGTCTTCATTTTGTAGTGGAAGAAACAGATGTAGACCTGACTAAGCTTACAAATGTGGTCTACGGAGGAGTTGGGCCCTGACTCCTCTGAATTAAATGTCCCATTTTCGAAGGTCAGTAAATCCATCTTCTTTAGTGTAGGCCGGACCTCACCTGGACTAGAGGAGATGGAAGCCTCAAGGCAAGGCTGCTGTCCAGTCTCATTAATAGCTCTCACCAAATAGGAGAGTGAGTCTTCATCCTGGCTTCCCATTCCCTTCACATTTAACACTATGTGTCGGTAACCAGAGCTTGTGAGTGAGGACCTTGCAACTGCCCCTGTGGATCCACCCTGTGTTCTTGCCAAAGCCACATTTCCCCTAAGCTACTCCCAGCTATAACTGAGCCAGCATGACTGTGGGACAGGTGACTCCTGCATCAGGAGATTTTGGCTTGATTCCCTGTCTCTTTTCCTTCCTCCTTTTCTTTCTCAGATGTCAGACCTGCAACATGGCTTTCCTTGCCTGCTTCTGCTTCTTCCTCTGCACCCATCACAGGAATTGCCTATCTACTACATTAGTGTATGCCTCAAACTGACAGTCTCTACAAATCAAGGTGTTTTCTTCAGGAAATCAAGCAGAAATTGGAGGTTTTAAAAATATGCCTCACTCTATATCATGAGAAGAGTGGTAAAAGACTGAAAAAAAAATAAAAGAAGACAGGCTGAGGCCAAATGACAAATATTTTCTTAAAATTCATACTAGGCAGACATGAAACAAAAAAATAAGATCTTAAATACCAAGGGAAAGGGATAAAAGGGGGCTAAGGAGATGCATGCAGTTTAACTTCTCTGGATAAGGAATTAGAAGAGAAAAAAATGTATTTTTCATTGTTTGTCAATCTGAAAAAGAGTGACTGCAACCCAGAGAAATCTATCAGAAGGGAGGTAAACTCTCAAAAACAAAATTGGCATGAGCTCCTCAGAAGGAGCCAGGAAAATATTATAAGATCTTTCTGTAAAGCTTTGGATAGAAATGTCAATAATCAGACCTAGTAGAGTAGCCATCTGTGCAAAGGGGTTGCATAAAATGCTGGTATTATTGACAGGATGGGGTAGATTAAAGATGGCTACAAATTCCTTTCTACTTATTTTATAGACAGATGAATTCTAATTCCTTTTCCCTTGAATCTAGGCTGGTCTTAATGCCTTGCTTGACTAATAGAAGCCAGCATTTGGCAGAAGTGGTCTTAAGACTTCCAAGGCCAGGTTTTGAAAACCCTTGATTGAAGTTTCCACCCAGGCATCTTGGAATACTGTTTTGGGAGCCCTGGTCTTCCATATCAGAAGTTTGATAACTCTGAGACTATCGTGCTAGAAAACCCAAGTGTAGGATCCTTATCAATACCCTTAGCTAAGACCAGGCTTCCAGCCATCCCCTCCCTGGCACCATACATGCAAGTGAATACTACTGTCTAGCACTCTTCAAGCTACCTGCCAGCTGAATACCACATCTGTTGTTGTTGCATGGAATGGAAGAATCACTTATGCAAGCCCCATCCAAATTACTGACCCTTAAAATTATGAGATATAATAAAAGCAGTTGCTGTTGGGTTTGTTTTTTTTTTTTTTTTAATGTTTTAATAATAGAGCTCAGAACACAGGAAAAGACTACAGAGACCAACATGAACTATTTGAAGGATTACTGGATAAACCATCTCAGGTGAAAGCTTGTTGAAGTAGGGATACAGTATTTCCTTTGTCCTAACAGAACTCGCTGGAGAAATGCATGAATTAGGACTCTGAGGGAAGCACAGAAAGACTGGATGTGCTGAAGAGAAGATAAACAAAATAATAATTATATCCAGGTTTAGATGAGCTATTGGTCGGATGGGAAAATACCTCCTAAGTGGGAATATTCAATTTAGGAACATAAATGTGGATAAGATCTCTTAGAACTAAAGTATTTTGACAGACCCAAAACTTAATTTCATTTCTCCCAATCAGGGAAATCTCAACATCTAGATTAGTTTGTTGGAAAAACAAAACAATGTGTCAGAAAGCAAAGGGAAGTCAAAGCAGAAAAGTAGCTCAGATCCAGATACTGCATTCACTCTGAGTTAGAAAAGGAAAAAGACCAACATGAGAAGAAGAATAAATTGTTAGAAATTCAAATGAGTCTCTCTAAAAGGAATAGAGGATTTACAGAGGGAAAGAGAACACTGGAGGCAGAGTTCATTACTGAAAAAAAAAATGTAGCAGAAAGAAATACTATTCAAAACTGGTATATTCAAAAGCTATAGGCAGATGCTATTCTGAGAAGCACCTGGCAAAGGTACTGGCCCTCCTGGACTCAGAATTCGGGAACATCAAGAGTGGCCTCAGTTCGGGTATCTGCTGAGGATGATGTTCAAATGCAGCAAGTGCGGAAACCAAATGAAAACTCTTCCCAGCAGAAGGGATCTTAAAGTTTAAGCAACCCTCTAGCAAGAGACAGGGACAACAGCCCTCCTGATACAGAACGAGAAGCACCTGTGTATCTTACGTCAAAAGAATATTTTTTGTAATTTAACCCTA